ATGTGTGAACTAAGTTGCGAGTTATATGTGCAAGAATAATAATAATAATAATCTTTAATCACTCAACACCCATTGGAATGATGAAAATCGATACATGACAATAAAAAAAAATCAAAGATTTCTTGTTTGTGCGATTCAGATGCAGGTTTCCCTAATTCTTGGCGTTTTGATGAGCTATTGAATGTTTATGTCCATGCCTGTCTGAGATCTTGATCCGGAATGGCAGAAATGCTTGGTTTTGTTTTAGCACTAAAATAACCGCCATTTGGCCATCTTTAATTGGATGATGAAACAAAAGTATGTGTATATATGTAGGACATTATGTATGATGTTACACACTATGTCTGAATAGAATTGAATAAATGATTTTTTATTGAAAATCTTTACCCTGATTACTCTTATACTTTTGTTATTGATTTTAATAAATATTTGATAACAAATCTTTTTTTTCAACTTCTTTGAAACTACCTGGCAATTGCTTTCATACTTGGTGCATGGGTGCACTTTGTCAGATTTCCTCATTTTGTTGATGACATCTTCAATTTTTAAATCTTGAAAACTACAAGCCTGATTGCTTCTTTAATGTCAAACAACGAGGAGCATAGGGGAAATTATGAGAGTACATGTATACCAGTTTTCTCATACCAAAATTGTTTACTAGCAGTATCCTGTTGTAACGAACACAGTTCTAAATTTATTTTAAGCTAACTCTCGCTCAACTCTCGCGTAGTTTTGCGTGATCTTGTACGAACGTGACTTCAGTGAGATTCGTTTGTTTATAAACAGTGAATGCAGCGCGAGATCGAAACTACACGTATTTGTATCTTTTACCATGTTTTTACGTACTCGGGAACTGAGATTTATGTTGAAATTGCGTGGTTAAATAAATGGTATACGCAGTCAGTCAGAACTGCGTTCTTAACAGTAAAACTCAGCCGTAGAACAGTAAAACCGTGATACGAAGATGGCATCATTTGGACGTACTCCACTCCAAGGTAGTAGACTTAAAGGTATGAACAGTACTGATCATTATTTGGAAAGTTTAATAACAGAGACATCCAGAGAAGTTGAACAGTTGTCACAGGAAGTAGACAGTTTAATGAAGAGTAGAGACAATCAATATAGTAGAATTCCTCCTGGTGAAAATGTACCATTTGTAACATGGTCATGTATTGACGAAGTTAGTATTCCACAGCACTCTACTCCACAAGAATCTGTGTCCGCTCAGAAATATTATGGTATACACCCATCTCAGTATAGTAAAGCCACTAGATCAGAACAGTTTGGTAGAATACATGCAAACAGCAGAAATAGATCGAATAGTGTTGTTCAAGATAGACAACCACAGAAAGATGTGTATCCCACTCGGCAGCGACCTGATTATGAGAGCAGGCACATGTATACAAAAAATCCACATGTTAATAGTCGATCAGATGTAGCCCAGCAGGACCCAGTTTTAAGATTGGCTGATATCTTAACTAAACGGCAAGATAGACTTCCTCCAATGGAATCGGAAGTGTATAGCGGTAGTAGAATGGATTTCCCTACATGGTTGAAGTCATTTGAAGCACTCATTGAAAAACAGACACATTCAGTAACAGAACGTCTGTTCTACCTTAGTAGATAATTATACATCAGGAAATGCCAAGGAAGCTATTCGTCACTTTCTTACACTTGAGGATGAAGAGGCATATGAGAAGGCAAAGTATACATTAATCCGTCGTTATGGTGACAAGTTCAAGGTAGCTGAAGCATACCGAGACAGATTGCATAGATGGCCAATTATCAAACAAGAGGATGGTGAAGGCTTGCTGAAGTTGTCTAACTTCCTAGAGCATTGTCATGCAGCTATGAATTCAATACATTATTTACGATGTCTTGATGATCCTGAAGAAAATCGAAAGATTCTCAGTAAGTTGCCAAGGTATGTAGTTGACAGATGGAGCAGAGTTATAGACAGGCATCTGTATGGTAATCAACAACAGTCTTACTATAATGCAGACTATGAAGGTTGTTATCCATCATTCACTGATTTTTGTGAATTTATGGCAACTGAAGCTCGTATCTCTTGTGGTCCAGGAAACATCAAAGTTGACAATTATAAGGAAGACAAGAAGACATACACAAATAGCGGAAAGGCTCGTACTGTGACATAAATTGTAAGTGAAAAGTACAGAGCCCTGGCTGTGTGAAATAAAAGCGCACATGTTTGGATACTTTGCAACAACCCATTGCACATGTTTATTTTTAAGACCGCTGATACAGTCACTGGATTGTGTTGTCAGCAGAATTTGAGATACATACATCCTGTCTCTCCCTGTGGCATAATGGTATGGCTCAGACAGTGACATGGTGATTGTGAAATACCTTGGAATGTGCTGAACCCAGTGTTGTTGGCAATGAAAATAGATATGACATCATTGACCCGAGTCTCCTACTTTAAATTGGTAGAGCTTGGATTAAGAGTGGTTTATTCCACTACCAAAATTGGCATCCTCTGTACACTGATTTGTCGGCTATTTCGAGATAACCAATCATTTCGTTATATACATTTTATTATTTGCATGGCCATAAATTAACTAGGGTATTTAAGTTGAGACATAAAGGGAAAATCTTTAGTCAGAAGGTGACCTGACTTGATCCTGTAACATCTTGTGATGCTGATTCCTGACTCCAGTGAGCTGTACCCTATACAGGGGTACATATGCAGACGTGCTGTGCAGTAATCCCTGCTGATCAACAGGAACCACTGAAGCTCACTGCCTGAACTAC